TGGATATGGCTAAGGGATAATTTAGTGGCTCTACTAGATCTTGCATATTTGTCAATATCCTATGTTGAAGCCCCTAATCTTGTTTCTTTGTTTCAATGCATATAGTTTTATGGTGGTGAGTATGGAGGTTCATTTGCTAGTAGATATTGTCTTGTATTGCTGTTAAATTAGTTCTGACAGATTGGTAGTGACATAGTGACAAATATGTCTAAAAGTAAAATATCTTTCATAGTTTAATGGTTTTGACCTTTTTCTTTGTTAAAAAAATTTCAACTGGTGTTTGACTTTATTTGCATCCATCTCTAATTTAACTACTTTTGACTTAATTTACAGCCATTATCTCGTTGTTCCTCCAGCTTTTAATTTATTCGACTTGTGATATCAATCTGAAGCATTTCAAGGCAAAGACTGTTTAGTGTTCAAAATACAGGCTTGCCAAAGCAAAAAGTGGATTTAAACAGTGGTTTATTGCTTGAAAGAGACATGACCTAGTAAAGATATAATTTTTGCCATACTTTAGTCCATTATTACGTCTGCATTATACTGCAATGATTAGATTAATCATGACAATGTGACAGCCATTAGCATAAAACTGGTGCAGCTGCCGGTGGATTAAAGTTATCACAGAGAAGTTGGTTGTTCGCAATGAAGAGTTTATTTAAATGTTTGCTGCTGGAAAAAACTATGAAGAGCTCATTGAAATGCTGTTAATAGGACATCAGTGTTGCTTTATGGTATACAAATAGGTTTTTTGCCTCTTCAACATCCACCTCTGGATGAAGTGATTGTTTAGAAGCACTGAGGGCAAAATGGTCAATGTCATTGGAAAATAGGCCGAAACGTACAATATTTCAGTACTGTTTTGAATGTTTGTAAAGCAAGATGGGAAAGATCACACAATATTTCTGGGGATCTCAAAGATTTTTTAATTTATAAGCGATGGGATAATATTATTGTTAGTATTCTTTTCGGTGTCATTTACTATATAGGTTAGGAATTATAGGTTTTTTAAAGATTAGAGATGCAGGTTTATTTAATGAAGTTTTAGTAATCCAAGGGCATTTCACTAATTTCTGTTTTTTTTTTCTTTCTAAAAGTGTAGGTAGGAGTCTAGGGTCTAAATTGTCATCTAGTAGTTTCTGGATTTTATTTGGTAGTAGTGTTATTAATGGTTTCAGTTGCTTTAAGTTTCCTATTTAGGTTCTGCTCCTAATTGAGTATTAATATTCTAGTCTGTAAATACTTTTGTAATCTTTGGAGGAGACATCATATGATCAATACAATCATTTGAAGAATTTTTTTCACCAGTTCATGTTTGGTCATTGTCTGGAAGTAACCATTTTTAGGTGTGAAAACCTTAGATATGATACCTTAAGCATAACCAGATTCTTAAGCAGGTAGATTATCTCAACTTCTACATCAATTGCACAAGTTGTCCATGAAAGTGGCTGTTAAATATGATAATATGCTAATCAAATGGGAGGATATGTTGCCATTGGTAATACTTACCATGTCAAGAGAATTTTGTAGTATCCATATACTACTGATTCTTTGTTGCTGCTGTGGTATTTATATACTTGTTCTTGAAGATTTTCTATTTGCATTATAATTGTTCCTCAGCTAATATTTATGGTAACCCCATGCTTAAGTATATTCATCAATACAATTTAGAGAGGAACATATATTTATGAACATACTTGTTTTGGTTGAACCTTTCTGGTATATATGTTATTTGCTTGGTTCATTTGTAAAATTTCATCAATGCAATGTAAGAAAATGTGAGCAAGGATTTTGAATGTGCTTTTGCAGGTGGATTTATCATCATTATTGTGCTATGATCATGGCCCTTGTTAGCCTGACATGGGAGATTAAAGGACAGCCAAATTGTGCTCAAAAGCAGGTTACCACTTTTTTTCTCTCTCTCATGGTTGATTATTTGTACATTTTGTTTGTTACATATCAGGTTTACCTTGCAGAGAGGAGTTCAACTTTTCCTTCAGTGGGCTATGATGCAAGGAATAGCAATGCTTCTGCAAAATAGATATCAACGCCAGCGACTATATACTCGAATTGCACTTGGAAAGGTCTTACTCTCATAATATTGCACTGTGAAAGTTTTCATGTTTATGCACATGCCATCCTAATGGACTTCCTGTTATTATTTCCAGGCCAAGAGAATGGATGTTGTTTGGGGAGAAACAGCTGGAGTTGATGGGCAGCTGTGGCTTTTATGTCCTATACTGTTCATTCTGCAGGTGATTTTTTTAGTTTAGCTGGTGTTAGAAAATTTACGTATAACGATGTTCTCTATTCAAATGATTCCCTCAAAGATAAATTTAGTTCCACCGATCATCTGTCTTCACCCTTAAATCTGTCATACCATCACTTCATGCTCTTGTTGCATGATATGTAACATGGGTAATCTGTAGCCCATACTTCTGTAGTTTAAGAAAAGCATAACATCCCTGAGTTCAGACCTTTCAATCAGTGAAAGAAACAGAATCTTCTTCTCTGGGTTTATCCCTTTCCTCTATTTATTGACCTAATACAAAATTTGCAGTCCTAATGAATTACTTCATGCTTCTATTTTTGCTTTTTAGTCCTAATGACACACCCCTAAGAAATATTGACATCTAGGATAGCTATCATATTCATCAGTAAGCAAGGAAGCTATAACACAATCAGTATGTGGAAAGTTGGCATTGCCATGTTTTCTAAAGAGCTTTGTGTTTTTGTATTGAAATTCTTCAAGTTCTAATGGCAACATAGTACTTAGTGATCTTGTTGAAACTCGCATATCATCAGCTAGATAAGCTGATTGGTTAAAATACTCCTTCTGACTAAGAAAGTGCGTAGGTCTCGGGTTGTGTTCTTATATTTTACTGAGTTTGAGAGATGGCCTCCATCTTTTATACGCCTTATTTGAATTGAAATCAGTTTATGGGGCTAACCTTGATTATATCATTTGTGCTTCTGGATCGGTTTTAGGGTTTTGAGGCCTATGTCGGACTACTATTACTGAAGACTGCATTTGTTGGTGTTGTTTCTGAGTGGCAGGTACAATTGTGTTCTAAACATTTCCGCAAAACCTCTTCTGTTCACTAGCTTATTCTATGTATGATAAAACCAGAAATGAAAGTGCTATACTGTTATCTGCTATAAAAATGGATCAGTAATAGGAAATTGTTTTTGGCAGGTAATTTTTTGTGGGGTCCTTTTGGTTTTGATGGCTGTTGGTAACTTCAAAAACACAGTACAGACTCTGATGGCAAAGTCAAGGTTTAAGGCAAAGATGAGAAGAACCAAGAGCAAGCAGGACTTGGATTAGGATTCCCTAATTAGGGTTTAGCTTACTGAGTTCTATAGAATCTCTTTTCTTAATGGTTTATTTTTGTTTTTGCTTGTCTTTTCGGGTTTTGAACATGTTTATGAGAGATGATGAGAGCAAAGAGAGTTTGTTCGTAAGATTTTGCTTTTCAACATAGGTCGAACATTTAAATGAATACACTGATGACTCGATAACTGCCACGTTGAATTTGAGCAGAAAGTAGAAAAACGTGAGGGGTGTGTAGAGATGTTCTTTTGATTTAATTTTTAGGGTGCTATTTAAGGGGAGTCCTCTTAGAGGTAGGGAGATGTGAATAAAATTGTAATCCACCTACTACGTATGTATGATTGGTTGATAAGGCGGGTGGCTACTTGGCTGTGCGCTCAAGCTGTGAGATTTTTTCTTCTACTAGTCTTTCATTGGCCGGCATTGAGCCAAGGACAGTTTAATACTTGTGGCTTGGCGTTTTTACTTGCTGTCTGTTAGTTGTTTTTTTGGTCAATTTAGTATATTTGGTTTTGCTTTCTTTAATGTTAATTTGTTTAGCCTTTAATTTTTTATGTGTACGTTCTTAAAAGTTACAAAAATGTGCTTAGCCAGTAACTTCTTTTCACCCTTTATCTGTCTCCCAATTTTTCCATTTTTTTTAGACCCGAAGGATATTTTATTTATTCTGTCGACGGTGGAGACTGTAGTTTGAAGAGCAAGTCTGTGGTGAGGGCAGCTTGGTGCACCTGAATAGTTGCAACTTCGTTTTACCGACCACTGTCAAAATTTTCGAGTTCGTTTTACTGAATAGCTCCTTTGGGTTGCACCGGCCCGACCCATGTAAAGGTTATGTTAATTAATCAATTTTACGAAATGTTCAATTTAATCTATACTTGCTATTTTTAGAATGAATACACGGCAAGAAGCACAACTGATGCAATAATACTCTATATATAATTTTGTTTAAAAAATGCCCTAAGTTAGTATTTCAATTGTCAATTCTATAACTTTCTATTTGGAAGATTAACCAGTGTAATACTTGACCATTAGTTTTGTTAACCAAGTCTAAAATTTCATAAATCATAATTTCCTTCCCCTTTTTTTCTTTAATTCTTACCTAAATTCTAATATGTGAAGTTTGAAGAGATCCATTAGTACATGAGGAGAATAGAAATAGTGAGGATTACATTCTTTTTTAAATGAGAAAAAGGAGAAACACGAGTGAAATTCGACAATAGAGGAAAAAAAATTGTACGAGGACGTCAAACTCAATGAGAAATAATGTAAATCTAAAATAACTTAATAGAATGCTACCCACATATATAAATACTTTAAAATTTTAATCATGCTAACGCTTCATAGTATATTTAATTTTCATTAACTTATTAAGTGCAAGTATTTGTGGTTTGGCTTTAAGGTCCTTCTTCACATGTGGAATAGATATTATAACGTATCATAGAACATATACATATTTTTGCTGATTCTTAAAATAGAAGATTATCTTTGAGGTATCGAAGTTATATAATAATATACTGGGAAAAAAAAATTAAAAATATATTAAATTCATTTATAAACTTACATTTTCTTTTAATTAAAAATAAATTAAATTTATACGATATGATCATTTTTCATTACTTTTAATTAAATAAGTGCATTTAAATATAAATTTTTTTATAAACTATGGTGTTAATAAAAGAAAAAGTGTGTATTAGGGAGATAGAAAGTGCGTGTGGAACATGTTACATGTGCAATGGAGTATGTTACTTGAAGTGCACTTTAATATCATGGGAAGAATGGTTGGTGCAGATAAAAGGAAGTACAGGCTGGGGCCATTCTTAATTATGTGTAAAATTCCCACAACCAAAACCTACTCTTCTCCATGTGCTCCACCTCCACCCATTATTCTTTCTTTCCCATTTTTCATCTATTTATTTCCCTCCCTTTGTGTGTGTGTATATATATATATATATGCAATATACACTACCACACACACACACACACACATATACATATTAATAAATACATACATACATTTATACACGAATGATTTCAGGCCATCCTTATTAACTACTACTACAAATTATAAGAAACGATATATATAATTCATTTAAAGGCATACATTATTGGCCTCCTCGATGTTTATTTTTATTTAATTATTTATAAATTTATTCATTATTATTATTATTATTATTAAAAGCTAATATATAGTTTAGTTTTCCATTTTTTTATTATTATAATTTTTTAAAAAAAAAAAAAAAAAATTTAATGTACCTCAAAACAGATACCAATATATATATACATACATAAGATCAGAAAACTAAAGCAGCATTAAGACATAAAAGAGACAACAGTCAGTGGTCCTCAGAAAGTACTTTTTAAGTAAGAGGTTGATAGTTGAAAAGATATATTTTTTTAGAAAAAAAAAAAAAAATTTAAAGAATTTTATAAATCCCAAAATTTTGGTGGAATTATATTTGACAAGTTTACTATTAAAACAGTAATTTATTTTTCAATCAATTTTTTTTTTATTAAAAAAAAGCTTTATGTGATGATAAATCTTATAAAATCATATCATTTTTTGTTCATTAAAAAATGGGGGTGAAAAATGGACAAAGCACATGGCGAAGGCACTTCATATAAATATTTCTGATCTAAGTGGGAATATAATTGCAAAAGGGATTTGAAAGCTGGCAATGTATTAAGATGAAGAGATACATAGCATATATTTATATATTTACATATATATATATATGTATATATATATATATAAGTACAGCCCGTTCTCTAAAAATGAATAATAAAAAAGATGCAAATAAACAGACCCACATTACCAAATGGCAAAAGGCGAGCAAAGCAGAATTATGGCGTGGGAATACCTTTGCATCGCATCGCCTGGTTTGCGCTACTTGTCAAAATGACACATTCACATGCACATGCACATGCACATGCACATGCACATGCACATGCACATGCCATTATTACGCTACCTCTGTCCTACTCCTGCGTATCATATTATAAATACGTAGATGTATGGCTGGTTATTTCTAAATAATTTTATCCAAAAATTATTAGTTCGTGTGGATTAATTGAGTGTGTATAAATTTATAAATTAAATATATTATTTCATTTCAAATTTTTGATAAAATGTTATAAAGTATAAATTAAATATATTAAAACTTACGAATTTTTTCAACCTAATTATATTTTTAAATGTGTAATATTTTTTTTTATTAAACTAATACCTTTTTTTAGTGTTAAACCAATTTTTTATTTTATTGTTTTTGCAAGTCCTCCCAATTTGGACCGGGTATAAAGTCCTAACTAAGAATTTACCTACAAAATCAAAGTGCGTGTGAGCACAAGTCGAGAGAATTTTTAATGCGATACCACCAATGTTTGGGTAAATAAGTTTCTCGAGCGAAAATTAAGAAAATCGGTGTTGAATGTTCATGTTTGGTTGGGTAGCAAGAAATAGCCTTACGTTTTCCTTATTGATAAACACCATCGAGTAAGGCATTTAGGCCTTAACCTTTAAGTCACTTGTACGGAGATATCTTCAATACGAAGGTAAAAGTGACTCTTTAAGGGATTCGTCCTTTAATTCCTTAGTAAGAGCCCTCGACTTTAATCAGATATAAACCTTTAAGTCGGGATTTGTAAAGAAATCATGTGGAATGCATGTGGTTCTTCGGTGGCTATCTTTTCTAATGACTTTAAATAATTTAGTCAATCAAATATGTTAGATTTTACTCCAGATTAGGTAATTTAGTCAATCAAATTCTGTATGAATTTGAATTAATAATAAATCTAAATTTATTTAATTAATTCCATGCATTAAAAAATATTCTTGATAAAAGGTAAAATTGCATTTCTTAAATTTTGTTCATCTAAATGCTTGAAGTTTGTAAAGGTCTAGTTTAGGTTTGTCATGTCATTTATTCCTCATGAGGCTACTTTCAGTGGTTCGTTGGCATATTCGAACTTGGAGGTAAAGTGTTCAATTTTTATGATTGAAAATTTTTTAAGTATTGTTTTAATATGACTATGTATTTTTCTATTTTTTTTAAATTTTTCTTTCATCTTAGTCTATAATGAATTAAAAATCTCTGATAATATTGAGACTTTTACCTCCAGCTTGTTGTTTGATGAACTTTAACTTCATTATGAAAATCTTATATTCGACGTGATTATTAGTGGTTTGGAAGATAAGTATTATTCTTTATATAGTATCTTTCTTTTGGGTAAGAAAGATCTTAATCTGCCTCTATTTTTTAAATTTTGATGTTTTATCTATTGAAATTTAAAATAAACTTAACGAGGTTTATCTCTAATAACTTTTATAAGGAGGTAACAAATATGAAATTCACTTAATTTTACTGTCTAATTTTAATAGTCTTTTAAAGACTTATTGATATGATATCTGTCTTAAGTAATAAATTGGTAATGATGTATAAGATATGAACTTACAAGAAATAAATAGAGTTTCTAATGGTGGGTGATTAGGCGAGGACCATCTCTTTTAATCCTAGATATATTTGTTTGACTCCTTGTAGTGAGTGGTTGACATTGTAACATATAAAGTGATGCTTTTATTTTATTTTTAAATAATTAACGACTTGCAATTGTTATATATAAAATATATAAGTAAAATTATAATTATTTGTTTTCCTAACGTTCAACCGGTGTGAATAGTGTAGCGAGATGAGTTTTTATGACTTTGACTTTTTCAACAACTGAAAAAAAGGAAAATATTTATTGCTTGCTTTAAAGAAAAATCTATTACAAATGATAAGTTGACTCTATGTTTAAACTTCTTTCCAAGTCATATACCCCAATCAAGTAAAGAATAAAAAACAAAGGAGCTTGTTGCATGCATTTGGGACGAAACAAGTGGTAAGTGAGCATAAATACCAACACTCCCTACTAGCACAAATTCTACCTACTTGATCTCATCCCATTATTCAATATAACATTTTAACTCAACACAGAATCCTCCACCTTTAAGAAGATTGAATTGCCTCTTAAAGGAGAATCACATCTTAAAGGAAAAATGTCATCCTATAAAAAGAATTTATCCCTTGAAAAGAGAGTCTCACCTCTTAAAAAGCTAATAAAAACTTAGAAAAAACTACTAGGTTGAACTATTCTAATATAATTGACCCATCTAATAGAACTTAAACCTCATTTTAGATGCCTATGCTTATTGGGCGGAAGGTTGCAACTTGCCCACATGCTCTCATATCATGCAATCTTACTTAGATCACATCTTTATCTTACTATATACAAGGACTTTAACTTCCGATGCATATATCTCTCGACTGTTTCAAGTCCTGAAAGAGAAAAATATTACTAACTCTAAAAATCACCACGAACGCTCTTTTTTATTAAAAAATAAATAAATTTAAAAGTAATAGTACGAAAGTAAATGAGAAAAGATTTACTGTCACTCTCAAAAAATTATAAAGACGTATAAAAACCTTATAACATTGGAAAACCTTCAATTTTAGTAAAATATCTAAATAAACAGCATAATAATTTTTCATTTTAACCCAATACTTTACCATATAGAGTAAATATAGCTAGCAATTAATTTCAACATAATTTTTTAATAATTAATTATATATGATAGAAATACAAGTAGATGATATTTTTTTTTTTTGAGTGAAAATACATTTCAATAATTATGTGATCTTTGCACACTCATAACATTACAATTAGTAATATAACAAGTTTTTAATAAGCATAAATAGGATGTATTATATAGAGACTTGAAAATGTCAGCCACTCAATTAAAGAATGATTAGTTGGGAAAGTAGTATTGAGAATGCAGAAAAAACTGAAATTATGTATAGAAACAGTGACATTGAGGGAAAGAAATTAAATTTGGTACAAAATCATATTTTGTTAATGAATAGTTACAAATATTTTAATGTATATTAATCAAATTGGTATTGTAATTATATCTAAAAATCAAGGAATCATGTGTAATTAACTCAAGAAATATATATATATATATGTGTGTGAAGCAAAATCCAGAGATTTCTTTCTTCCATTATTAATTCAATAGTAATTAGTTGGTAACCCACCAAGCAAATCAAAGAGAAGAAAGAATTTTATTTTATTTTTTTCAAAAAAAAAAAAAAAAGAGAAAGAAATAAATACATAAAAATAAATAAATTAAAATTGCATTTCTCTTCTGCAAGTCTGACAATCCAAGGTCTCTTCTTCTTCTTCTTCTTCTTCTTCTTCTTCTTCTTCTTCAATTCCTAGCTCTCTCTGGATCTGTCTATGTTCTTTTTCAGCTGCTCATAATCCGAGCTTATTCCTCTGTGCCTAAACTCAAACTCCTCCTTCCCGGCCGCCCGGCTTTTGAAACCAATCCTAATTAATTTATTTATTCCACCCAACAAATAAATAAATTTTACAAAAAGTTGATACGCCCGGCACCAACGTAGCTACTTTCAATCTCTGTGTTCAGGAGAAGAAGATCAATGAAGAAGAAGAAGTTGATAGTGATGAAAAAGAAAAGACAAGAAAATGGGATGAACATTTAAGAGAGATCTTAATTATTATCATAATCAAATTTTCAAACTCTGTTTGTGGGGGCACCAATTTTTTTTTTTTTTTTATGTATCTTGATTATTTATGGTATTTTTTTTATAAAAAAAATATATTTTGTAATAATTTTTATAATAATTGTGTAAAAATTATTAAAAGATGTAAGAGAAGAAGAATTGACTCTGAAAATTATATAAACGTGATCAATATATTTTTACAATTTAAGAAAAAATTAAAATAAATTAATCACATCTACTAATTTTTTTTAAATCATTTTTTCTCCTGCATCAAATAATTATTATTATTATTATTATTATCATTTTTACACGATATTAACTAATTATTATTCAAAAGATTAAATTATTAAAAAAAAATAACCACAAATAATGATAAACCCCAAAAAAAAAAAAAAAAAAAATCATAATATAGCACCTGAATGTTCTCGGGATTCTGCACACAGGTAATTGGTACAGATTTTGGGATCTGAGCTACGAGATGAAGTGATGAACCCCACTCAGCCGTTGACTATGAAAACCGTGACCGTTTGGAGCTCCTGAGTTCTGTGGCTGGAACTCTATCTTGTAACTCATTTTTCCCTCATCTTCTGTTTCTTCATCTCCTTCCTCCTCTTCAACATTCTGATCACTGTCTGTTTCCTCCATTTTTTCGTACTCATCCACCGTCAAAGGTCGCTGCTGCTGCTCCATCAGCTCATTCACAATGTCTTCTGGCTTCAAAATCAATATAAGAATCAATATATACACTCGTACTCCTTATAATAAATATAAGGGATACGTACATAACATCCAAACAAATATACAAAGGGTATAATAAAACAAATCACCTTCTTCGTCGCACCTGCTTCCCTATCCTCTCCAAAAAGGTTCCCTGTAAAACCTTCGCTTCTTGCTTGCAGCTCACCGGCGCCGGCATTACTGCCTTCGTTTTTGTTTTCTGATTCAGGAGCTGCCACATCTGTTCTGTCGACCTGGAGCTGTATAGTCGGCGCTGGGACTGTTTCAGGCTGCTGCTGTTTAGTAAAGCTAATGGAGCTGGTGCCTCCACTTGTTCCGCCGCCGGCGGTGCTAGACCCTCCGAGTGTCTTTTGCCGGTAGAGTGCATCGAGCTGGTGAAAGTAGGGACAGGTTTTTGCATCCTCGGGACGTTTCTTGTTGCTTTCTTTTACTTTCTTGAAGTACTTATTGATGTTTTCCCATTTTTCTTTGCATCTCTTTGCACTCCTTTGATATCCCATTCGCTGCATCCCTGCCGAGATTTCTTCCCAGAGAGGACCTTTTGGTCCTGCCTCTTGGTACCGGGACTCAAGCCCACCTCTAATCGATATTAGCGCTAGAACTTCCGCCTTGGGCCACCTTGAAGACGGTGGCTCCGAGCTCCCACTCGCGCCAATTTGATCCTCCTGTTCACGAGGCACAGGCCGTTGTTGTTCTGGGATCGTGACTAAAGCTTGCGAAGCAATGGAGTGCTGTCCCTTATCAGCTACAGTTTCAGTGACCGTCTTCTCGGTTTGTCGCATATGATGTGGTTGTTGCAGCAACGAAGCTGGTGGGTTTGCTGGTTTGGCTTGAACGGGGATATGGGTTGTCGCTAATGTTGACGGTGCTGATTGAGGCGGTGGAGCTGAAGGAACCGGAACTTGGGGAGGCAGCTCGATCGTCTGGCCGGTGATTTTCTGTAAAAAAGAAATAATGGCGGCGTCCCTTGCAGCAGATATAGCGCGTTCCTGAGCCATAAGCTCTTGCTCTCGAGCCAACCTTGCCATTTCTTGCCTCTTCCAAGCTTCTTCTCTTACCATCCGATCCTGCTCTCTCTTCTCTATTGCCTCCAAGAAGCTTTGCTGCATGGCCTCCTGCTTTTGCATTACTTGTTTCATTAGACCCTCGAAGAACTCCATCATCCTGTCATCGTCTCCACTTCCCCGCTTTGACGACTGTGATGATCTCTTCCGTTTCCGGCTGGTAGCTGCAGCACCGACGGATGGTTCACCGGCAAAAAATCTATCATCTTCATCACCATCATCATCATCATCCGAGCCTGGAGAAGACGAGGAGCTATTAGAAGAGAAGCTGACACCAAAGTGAGCGGGGACAGCGGCTGCGCCAGGTGGTGGAGGAGCAGAGCCAGAAACTGTGGCCGGTTGGAAGACATGGATATTAAGAGCGGCCGAAGAAGAAGCCGGAAGGTTCGAGAGTGAGAATGGTTGGGGAGGAGGATTGATATTTCGAACAGACGAAATAGGCATCGGACCGGGGATGCCAACTGAGACAGGAGAGACATCGAGGGTGGCGGGGACATGAGCTGTAGCAGCGCCGGCGGTAGCCATTGAGGGAGAAGCTGAGAGGTTAGTAGAGCTGCTGCCATGGAGAGCTTCGAGCTGCGTGAAGAACTTGTAGCTTTTGCCATCTTGACGTCCGGCTCTGCCTTCTTTTGTTCGCTTGTAGTATTTGTGGACGTTCTCGAATTTCTCTTTGCATTTCTTCCCACTCCTGTTGTATCCCAACTCTGCTAGCTTCCTGTAATAATCAACACCCACAATAATCTACCATCCAGAATAGTTATTCACACTATATATACAGATATATAAAATATATACATGCGAATTAATTTTATACCCTTTAATTTTTTTTTTCAAAAAGATGATCAAGAATATTTTCCAACTTTATTCGAGGTTAATTGAATTCTTCCTTCAAACCATTTTAATGACAATGTATTTTAAATCGAATTTTCTCTTCTTTTTTTTTTTTCCTCGCAATTTAATTGTGCAACAAGCACTAAAACAAGCTGCCCACTTACCAAAATGAAAGTAGAAAAAATTAGAAGCTCTCACCCAAATTTGAAACCATTTACTACGGAGAAAGAGAGATCGAAGAAGAGATTCTATGGGGAAAAATAGAAAATTAAAAGAAGAATTGGTATGAGGATTTTCAATTTGAAGTTTGGAGAAATTTATGGGTTTAATTTAATTTTTAAATATAAAGGAAGATAAATAATAATAGTAGCAAGAGGGTATGGGTAAAACGTGCGCAGTGGATCTGGGCCATGAATTCTTAATTTGCAGAGAGAGAAGAAAAACAAAAAGATGCCTCAAACAGGCTCGTGAGTCGTGATGGAAAGGGATAGAGGCCATGTGCGTCTGTTTGCAGACTAGGACAGACGCAGACAGACAGAGAGAAAGAAAGAAAGAAAGATAGCAGTACAGAGATGAACACCACTAACCTCATCGATACCAAAATGCTTCACAGAATCGTCGAATCGAAAATGGAAAATGTACAAGAAAAATAATTGAATGGAGAGAAAAACAAAAAAAAAAAGTTACCTGGAAACTTCTTCCCACAGCGGGCCTTTAATGGTAGTATCGCGGAAAACAGCATCCATATCGGACCTAATCTTGAGAAGCGCCAGAGTTTCTTGACGAGGCCATCGGTTTCCGCTGATACCACCGGCACCGCCGCTTCCTCCTCCACGGTCTGCTTCCTATCCGGCTGCCGCAAGTGCCGCATCTTCCTCCGCCGATAACCGCATCAGCTCATCTAAACTCCCGGCAGCGGCGGTGGCCGGAGGCCGACTGCTTATCGGCGAGGCAGCTTCGACTATCTGCTGCTGCTGCGGCGACTGGTCGCTGCCAACATGCAACATGTGGAGTTATCAGTGAAGCAATAACACGATTCTGATAATTCGGATTCTTCTCTGATTGCGATTGGGGTTGTAGTGTAGTTGTAGTTCTTCTCTCCTCTTCCTCCTCCTCCTCTTTCCGCCGCTGCTCATGGCTGCATCTCTCACGAATGGATTATTCACAGAGCTAACAGCGGCATATATCCATGAAGAGGGATCTCCATCTACATCATCTTCAACCTCATGCCAATCGAACTTAAACTCTTACGAGACAAACACAGAAGCCTTTGGTTGGATTTTGCAACAATTTGAATAGAGGGATTTATTCGCAGATTTGAAATTTGAAAAGAGGCAAACCGGGTGAAAATAGGAAAAACCCAGATCGACAAGACAACTGGATAATTCAAAGGAGGCAGCTGCAAAAGTATTGTTCCTACGAGTTAGTGCTGGCGGTATGAGATTTAAGATTTTTATTCCCGACTTTTTTACTAAATTATTCTCGGAAAAGGAAATTATGGGGGAGAAAATGGAAAGAAAGTAGCAGTAAAGGAGAAAGAGAAGGTGGGGAGGATGAAGAGGGCATAATCATCATCGTCATCAGCTAAGCTGCAGCGCAGCGCAGTGCAGTGCAAATTGACAGAGCAAAAGAGAGAGAGAGATGATAAATGTAGAGAGAGAAAGAGATAAACTAATGGAGATGACGATTATGAGGATGATGATGATTAAGAGAGAGAAGAAGAAGAAGAAGAAGAAGAAGAAGAAATACAAAACAAAGGAGATGCTGTGTTGTCAGGGGGAGCTCTCACTTTGCAGCTAATAATTGTTAAAAACAACTTTTACCAACACTTTTTTTTTTTTTTTTAATTTTTAATTTTTTACTTCAATTTATTTTTCATTAAATAAATTATCTGCCACTCCCTTTTGTTAAAATTTATGCTGATTATTTTTTATAATTATTATATCATTAATAAAATACTAAATTAGGTTATAAATATCTGATTTCTTCAAGTTAAATCTTATTGGTAATATAAATTTTTTTTTTTTCAAAAAACATAAAATCCGGTTGAAAACCTAATTTAATATTTTATTCCCCAAAAAAAAAAAAGAGATAATTATTTTAATTTATATAATAAAAAGAAAAAACATATTTCCTCATAATTTCAGGAAAAACAGAAACGTAGTGAAATTACTATAATAATTATTTTACTTAATAATAAAATTACCACAATGACGTTAATAATCTGTTCAAAACTATAAAATTATATAAATTAAATTCAAATTAACTATTATTAGGAATATGATAAATAAAAGGCAATATAATAATTTTAGGAGCAAATTACTATTCATTATTGATTAATTTTAGTTAAATAATTCATAAAATATTAAGTAAAATAACATTATGGTAAATTTAGTATGAACTTTTTATTTAATACTTTCTTAGGGGGTAAATGGTTCTACAGTTTGTAAAATATAAATTTTTTGTATATTTTAGGATTTTTGTAATTTACCTATAAAAAATAATAAATTTAATTATAACTATTACTTAACTTTAGTGTAACTTTTAAAAATATCTACCGATCAGTCTAATTTTTACCCGGAGATAAATTATAACAATTATTATCATTGTCATATTACGCGATAATTAGATAACTGTAATATATATATATATATATATATATATATATAGTGCGATGGATTTAGTTAAACAAGTAAAGTTGTCGGCCCCATCTGACCATCTGAATAAGTTGCATGTGATAGGAGCCGCAGGTTTATCTAGCACACACCCATTAAAAATTAACCCTTTCCTTATCTCTTGTTTCTAATTGCAGAAATTCATTACAGCAGCTTCAGGTATTCAGATGGTAGAAAAAGTGGATAAGTAATTTTTTTTTTATTTTTTAATCGCCAGATAAATTAAATTATACTCATTGATGAAATAATTTGTGTCTTGTGATTGCATAACAGTAAATAAATAATTCATAGGAGATGTGGCAGAGCAGATTTCAAGGGATTGAAAATGGAAAAAGTGGATTTTACTCTCTTGCTTTTTTTGGTTTTTTTTTTTAAAAAGAAAAAAAAGTTCTGGAATAAATTTATTGGTCTATTTATTTTTTTTTTCCTAGCTATTAGTCAAATTATGGGTAAAAAATAATATATAAAAACAAAAAAAAAATATTAGTTTTATTAAATTATGAAAAGATACAACATAGTTCGTATTTTATTTTTCTAAAATTAAATTAATTTTACTAAATAAATATTGTTTAGGGAGAAACCATATCTTGTAAAAAATCATACATCTTATCTAAAATAAAAATGGATCTTACTAGTGTATATATATATATATATATATATATATATTTTTTTTTTTTTTTTTTTAATAATAGAAAAAGGAGAGAGATACAGGAACAGATTGGTACAGCTGTAAAGAGGGGCCCATAAACATGAGGTGGTAAGAACGTGCGTGGCGTTTCTCCCGGATTTGTGAAACCCCCTAACTGCCAGGCATCTTCTCTATCATGCCCAAATCGGTGCACATGCCTCTTGCTTCTCTCCTTTTCATTCCTCTCTTCTCTTTTCTTTTCCTTTCTTTAATTTCACTGCCTTGCATCCTTGGGAACCCGATTCCAGACAAACCAACTCTCTCACTCTTGCAATTAAAGCATATTACCACTCCCAAAATTATTGCTGGTTCACAAAATAATTTCTACGTAATAATAATAATGTATGGTTGTTCCCAACAATTTAATTATTTCAGTTTTAATAAATTAATTCCCTTGTTTAATTTGAATTGGGTATTTTTTTTTTAATCCCTTTGTTGATAAATGAAATATAAACAATGTTATTGAACAATTAAAGACATGAAAAAAAAATTTAATTTAATATGAACAAATGTATAGACTAAGACCAATTTTTACAAGTCAAATAATTAAAACATAAAAATAAAATAAGTTTAACCGAAAAAGTAATATGATATCTTGAAGTTATCATGACATGGTAATTTTGTAACATATGGTAATAATGTAACAAATTTGTATAATAGTCAAATAATTTTGTACAACAATACTTAGGTAAGTATACAATGTTAAATAATTAGTTCATGAGATTATTATGAAATACTAATAATTTACCCGGAAGGCACCCCTATAGAATTGCCCTCAAATATACATGTAAGCAATGCTAGTACGCAATTTAAGTTATCTTATCAATGGGACAAGCCACAGGGCTATTGCCACCATGTTTTTCCGTTTATATTCGACTATGTACTAAAGAGTTTTAATAAATAAAAATAAATTTATATATTAAATCTTACAAAATTGACTGCTCGAGGAAGGTACCAGTAGCAGAAAGTCTTCTAACTACTGGAGTCCTTACAAGTCCAACGTCTTCAGTGCAGATCAAGACAAGTTCTATTTGCTTTAATACAAAAAATATATATATGATAAAGTACAGCACCACTTTTAATTTATTCTCATTACAATTAAAATATCTAACGACAAATCAGTATGGTGCGTTTTGGTGTTATTACCATTTTACAAAAACTATATATATTTTAAATAGTTGTGTATATCGAGAATAGTAAACATTAATACGTAAAAATTTAATAGAAAACAAATTAAAATGAGTTAAAAGATTTTTAAAAATACAATAATACCATTAAAAAACTTATATATTTACGTAAAATGAGACAAATCAAAATATATGGAACTGAATTGTGATAAAGAAAACACAAATTTTGAACTGAAGTATATGGGATAAATCTGTAGGTAATCCAAAAACTTGTAAAGACTAATTCAAAAAAAAAAAAAAACACTAACACACCAAAAATATTTCATCAAAATGATAAGTACTTAATGATTAAAAGAAAACATGATTCTTCAACTGAAAAAAGAAATGTAAGATCTTTGTGAACAAATTGATCATAAAAAATTTAGTACTCAGGATAATTATTAAGTACCATGATGACCCTGCAATTTCAAAGTGAGCTTGTCTCAGAACATTGATAACCGAATCTCCTCAACTACCAAAAAGAAATACAGACTAAGAAGCACAGTAGAATAGAATGAAGTTAATATAAATTGATTAATGACTAGGGTATGGATGGGTCAAAACATAGCAGCAGCCTCTGTACATTAATTAGAACGGTACTCCGAGATCATTAACCTTAATTACATAGCAGCAGCCTCTGTACATTAATTAGAACGGTACTCCGAGATCATTAACCTTAATTGCATAACAAACGAAAAGTGATTATGTGGTCTCAGGTTACATAGCAACAGGGTTGATCAAGATTATTTATTAATTGACTTCAGAATTTTTGACCAAAAAATTATGTTAGTTTTCTGACGAAATTTTTTAGCTTCACTAAAGTAATTTTATGGACTAACCATATCATATATGGTCCTGGCGTATGCAAAAATTGTCAAAACAATAATCAAAATCACCCGACCTTTATCACAGCTAAGCTGCAAAATATATAATGCATGTGACACAGTAGAAGCCACTATTGCCAGTGTATGTATGTATATATTACTGTTGTCGATGCAACTGACATGGCATCCAATGATGTGATCTTGAACTTAAATTATTAGAAAAGTGTACTTTACTATTATAATTATAACAACGCATTAGAACCACCACCATGGTAGAAAACCTCAACCAAAGTACACAGCTCTGTGTTAAACAATCAAAGGAAACATCAGAAAGGAGGATATTCATGAAATGTTCATAAAGTCAGAAAAGAATAATAGTTCCTGCATTATCACTACTATCTGAAGGGTAACCTTGACAATGTCAAATCCATTTCACCTCTAACAAGCTCAAAATTTATTGTGTTCCTTTAGAATCCATTTTCCTATTAGTGATAAGTAAGAATTACTGCAAATGATTTGTGTATTTATACAGCAGGCACAAATGGTTGGAACACAACAAGTGGGGAAGAAGAGATGGAAGATCCACTCATGTAAAATATGATTTAACTCATAGATGCCAACCAACAACAATTAAAACAAAGAAAATCCCTAGTGAAGAGATAATGACAGCTCATGACAAGTAAACAGAAACAATATGGCAGTTGGAAGCTTGCAATAGTAGTTGCAACTGTCACCACCCCAAATGCTCATAAAATTGCATTGAGAATCAATAGTATTGGTTCAAAGAAGCCAGGATAATTTACAAGCTCCTGTCCCCATCATCATAAGTAAAATAGAAAGTATTAACAAGGCAGGGCATAATTGACCAATTATAGAAGAAGTCTGTGAATGGAATGGGTTGAGAAAGCAAATTCACATATTATCTGTTAATTTAATAATAATAGTAATAATAATGATCATAATATATCTCATCCTCAAAATCTTCATTCTTAAGTGTTGGAAAGTAGCAAGCCATGTGTAAGGGATTACAGCCACTAGTCCTCTTAGAATTACAACTCAAAATTGATCTAGGACTTCAGAAGAGTATGGGGCAAAATAACTATAATTAGTACATTTCAACCCTTAACCTCAACAAATTCTAGAAAGTGAACAATTCAATTGCCAAAATACTTCCCACTAAGACCAGTTTGGTATAAATACCATGCTTCAATTGTAGAGCATAGCATGAATATAATTAGAAATAAAAAGATGAGCCAAGTAGAAAGAAGAAATTATCTTTAGAAAAAAAAAAGCATGAAACGTGCAGAAACCATAGTCACATAATATTATTGAGAGACTAAAACGTGTTAATAAGCACCACAGTTAAATCATCCAATTCCAAGTCCTTTTTGTCCAGATCTGTAACACATAGTTCTACCATTACATTAACTCCTCAAACTCCACTCAATGTTGAAAAGAATTCCTGCATCCAACATTCTGATTGTTTCCAAGAAGCGAAAGGATCTGTATGTAGGCCAGGTACATAAACATGGCACAGACTGGCCCAAAGACAAAGAACTCTGCATAAGATCATTTCTTTTCTGGTTCTTCAGCATTGAGCTTGTAGTTAATTCAATTTTAAGTTTATTTCTTCCTACATTTATAGCAACACTATGTACAGAAAAACTATAAAAAGTTATGCACGAAGTAGTGCAGCAACTAAGGTGAATACTGTAACTCTATTAATTCAACTAATTAATGTTTTCCATGAACATGGATTTTTACTTATTGAATCCCGTACAAGTTTTGTGTTGTAATCATCTAATTTGGCAGTACTTGTGATACTTCCATGTAGAAATTGTAGAAAACATCAACTAATGTTTTCCACGCACATCAGTTTTCACATATAGAACTCTTTATATGTTTAGTATTACTCTTATCTAATTAAGCAGAACTTGTGATACTTTTATGTAGAAATCATGGAAAATCAGAGCCTAGATTCGTGAAGCCAGTTGCCATATGTTTCCTGTATATATACCATTTTGGAATGAGAAAAGCATCGAGTAATTTCTCTCTGTATTTGGAGTATCTAACTCTCAAGAAGTCGACAGATTCTCTCTAATAAGCCCCTATTACAATTCATCATTAATCATAAGTGTAGGAAATCTATCACGCATTCAGCTAACTTGATTCAGGATTCAGTGTAAAGCAATCCCAACCAAAATATGTCACTCGGGACCATAATATTCATATAAAAAATTTTGTAGTTCTTTCAATTATTGCCTGATTGTATAGCTTCCACATTAATAAAAAATTTCCCTTAAACAGTCTTATGGGACCACCAACCCATATATTCACCTTCAAAACCATCTATTGCAAGTTTGATTTTAAGAATAGATCTATAGCACCTGCGCATTCTCGACAATTTCTTAGTGATTTTTCAAGTGTAATTTCTAGTTGATCTAATTTCTTTCTAGGTTGAACTGTATGTTAGCTCCCAGGACTCCATTTTTTAGAGAACCATCGATACTGAAGTTGAGATCGTGAAACTTTACTTGAACTATTAAGTCACATCAGTTCCTAATCTTGTGATAGATAACTGATGCTATTTCCAGTAATGACCTAAAAATAAGAATTCCTCTAATGTAAGACAGCATCTACCACAACACGAAAACTTCAACCAACCCATCACTTCTTCATCTTTAATGCAGAAACCAATCTTAATCAAAGATATGGCCTGCATTTATTTACAGGTCGCAAAAACAAGAATTCCTCTAATGTAAGAGAGCATCTGCCACAACATGAAAACTTCAACCCAACCATCACTTCTTCATCTTTGATGCAGAAATCAATCTTAATCAAAGATACGGCCTGCATTTATTTACAGGTCTCAAAAACTGTTTAATCCATCACAGGAAGGTGTTTTACAGGTTAAAGAAACTCAACACAAAATATCAAGAGCTTGTGTTGGTCCAAGTCACTTAAAATGAAGCCATATCTTTAGTTAAGATTGATTTCTGTGTTAAAGATGAAGAAGTACTTGATGGTTGGGTTGAAGCCAGATTATGACAGTTAGGCTGAGCTTAATAGGAAAAATGTTTAATGAAATTAAAATGAAGCCAGATTATGACAGGTTTATTCGGTATCTTAAATATCTTGATATGCAAGTTAGCTAACTGTGAAATGATTGCCACTGATTATTTACATAAGAACAAAAACCAATGCCCCAGAGCTAAATGAACGGCAATGAATAGCATTCAAAAATTTTCAGTGATTTCTTTATACTCTATGTTAAGATATTAGGAGTTACTTCTTAAATAAATAATATTAATATTATACTATATATTAGTATTTTTTTCTGTATACGATTTCCTATATGAACTAATATGTGCATGAAATTTCCATACAAATTCAAAATAATTCGATTGATAAATACAGTTCTTACTAAATTAAGATCCTCTAACTCCTGCAGATCATGAACTGATTAAAAGAACCGATTCTCACAAATATGAGAAAAACTTGCTGGCTGTACGTCCATTTCTCACCAGAAGACGAAGAATGAAGACGAAAGGAAAACTAAATTATACCTGGAATCGTCCAATCGCCACCCTCCCTGATAAGCTCACAATCTCACACGAACTAAATGTCATAAAATCTATAAGGCATCATATCTGCTATAAGGTTTCACAAATTCAATCATCCCGGCCGGAAGATTAGAATCTCTCCCGAAAAAAAATCATCATACAATCGGAAACTAAATTTCAAATAGACAAAGAAGAAACAGAAATAGCAGTCAATGACACCATAGACCAGTAATGCGCAATGCAGGATTACCTTTATCCTCCTACATCTTCGGGGAGCGGCTTCCTGCAAATAGAGGTGGAGCTCGAATTCATTCCGGCGGTGGAAGAGTTGCAAGAGAGTAGCCCGGCTAGAGCGTCGTGCTCGAACTAAGATCAATTGTTAACAGAGTCCTCGTTGGTCGCTCCGGGTCTTTGAATTGGGACCATCTGTTGGGCCTTCATGGGCCAATATGTTGCCATTCGTTTTTATATGCTAAGAATTGGGATTTTATTTATTTTTTCTTTAAAAAAATTAGTAAAATTTATATATTTTATAAATAATATGATATATTTTTACTGATTATAATATAATATTTTAAAAAATAAATATCAAAATGTACGAACTCATCAATTTTTAAGACTTTGAAAATTTAATTTATGAGTTAAAAGGTATAAATGAATTCAAAATTTGTACAAATTCTGGGAGTTAAAATTGCCTATATTGTGCTTAACGTTAACAAATTTTTCATCTAGTTTTTACCATCTCTCTCTTGCAACGTTAATAAACTGTCAAAAGATAGGCATCAAATATTTTAATAATACTATTATTTAATAATTTTTTCAAATAATAATATATTAATTGTACTTTTAATAATTAGAATTTTATATTTAAACAAAAATTTTAAAGAAAATGTCACTTAAAATTTTAATTTATTGTAATTATTTTAATTAAAAAATATAATATATAAATAATGTTTTTTTATTAATAAATATAATAAATTTATTGATACTTAATTTTAATTTAATTATTATAATTTTATTAATATATTAATTAATTAAATTATCAGTTTTATTAAATTAAATATTAACCATTAGACCACATCTTGTTAATTGCTAAACTTTATACTTAATTTTGTATGATTAAAGTTTTGATGCCACTAATTGATTTTTATAATAAAAATTAATCCGATTTAAATTTTAGGCTCACATACACGTGTATTACACACATGCCTATATATGTGTCTATAAATACACACACACACATGTTAGCAAACAATGTGTGTGTTCTATATTTTTTGAATAAAAAATAATTAGAAAAGGGACTTATAAACTACTGTTCTTCTTTTAATTTTTAATTTTCAATATAATATATATTAATTTTAAAATTTTTATTTGAAAGTAAAATATAAAATCACAGTTCAACATAATAAAAATATGGAAATAATTTTATATAATAATAAAAAAGAAAAACATAATTAAAATTTATAATTACTTGGGTATCTGACGATCCGCGAATCCCCAATCCCATTATTTTAATTAATAAAAAATTATCCAATTAATAAACTAAAAATCTCGGTTACCCAACATAAATGGGATGTCTTTCACTAATTTTAAATAAAAATAATAAATATTTAATTTTAAAATATTTTTGGTACATATATATATACATATATATTCTGATCCCATATAGGCAATAATTAAAGAAAAATACCTTACAACTACTATATGTATTTGTGGGCAACCACAACGGCATTTTACATATAATAATTATGAATAAATACATTTATGAAGCATGCATGCATGAATCTAAGACAAGGACGTACTTCGTGCTATATTTTTGTTGTTTTTAATTAAAATTTATTTGTTTGTATGTGCAGATTTATGTCCAGAGATCATGAATCTATACCTAAAATATATCACCATTATTCCACCAATATATGTATATGTATATATATATTAAAATCGTTGCAAGCGTGTTTCAATTTATTAATTATATTTTTCCCACATTTTTTTTGCATAAAACTTTATTTTTTGAAACTTTACGTACTTTGTGATAATTTCTCGTTATTATTTTTTTACTTAAACTCCAATCGAATGATATTTTTATTTATTTTTATTTAAAATTTATTTTTTTATAATATTATGATTAATATACATTTTTTATTGTAAAAAATAATTTTTTTCACTTTTTATTGGAATAATCTTTTTTAAGGTATTATTTATTAATTTAACAACTTGGTATTACTTACTTCCGTACGTAACACATTACTTACATTGGATATGTATATTAATTAACTAACAGACACAGATATAGATATACTATGTATGTATGAATACATATAAATATATGTATGAATATTTAAATCGGATGATAAGTTGTTAATTGATGTACGTTCTTGTGTGACTTCATCGTCTTCAGCTTTGCCAGATAAATATTTGACTGTCCACTGATTTGGAATAGACCAGTAGTTCGTGACTAAAATCTGTGGAGCATTTGATTGGTTTGAATAGGTCTGCAATAGAGATATAATATAATAATTATTATACTAGAGATTCATAACAACATACATTCATCAATACATACACACACACACACACACACATATATATATATATATATGTAACGTACCATTTTTTTTTTCTTTAACAGTATAATTTAAGACAATTCTATAAACCATCATACAACTTTCATGTCAAATCAATCACACACAAAAAAATATTTTCATACTTTATTATTTAAAATTAATATAAATTTACAATTCTACATATAGATAATACAATCTCATACACTTCCAGCAGACATTATCTAAACTACTATAAATTTTTACACACTACAATCCGCCCACAAATAAAATCCTTGTCCTATGGCACTATATACTAAGCTCAAAAATTAGTAACTCAAATCCTGACTCTATTCTTATTTCATCTATTAATGATAAAGAGTGAGTTCACATAATTCAATACAGTAAAAAATTAAGTTGCAATTATAATATACAATAACAGAAAATTCAGTATGTCTATATGCATTTCATCTGCACAAATCTAAGCTATAACTTAGAGCCACCCTAGAACTATTCATCATTAACTTATCCCGAAACTAGTTGTGGTTACCAATAACACATGCAACAACAGGAAACCCAGTATTCCCATATGTACCCTATCTATACAACCTAAGTCCTACTTTAATATCACCCCGGGACTATACCGAATCAACTTGTCCCGTTAAGTTAGTTATATTGATATCAAATGTGACTGCCTTCCAAAGTCACCCCATTAGTACAAATGTTCTCACTCGTCACCAATATCGGCGACCAACACTCAATTTTCTATATCTTGACCCCTAATAGGCCACACACACACAGAGATACCATCATCTCCTGTCACCAACATTGACGACCCAACCCCTTGCCCGTTGGGGTCTCCCGACCATCACCACTATCGGCGATCAACCTACTTTTTCTAGGTAGCGACTACCAATATCGGCGTCTCCCAATACTTCCAACTCAAGGACCATACCATCCCGTACTCGTTTCACCATGTTATATTGAGGCTCCCCTATTCCTTTACCCTGTATACCGACCCTACACACATCTCCCTGTATGACACACACTAACATTTTACACATACGTCGGTAATGTTCCCTCGCCAACCCTTAAATTTATAGCAGCTATACCAACCTATATACAACCCACACTCTCACACCACACAACTACCAACACACTCCTACTCCTATACCTTAAACCACACCTTACAGGCCTCTCTTTTCTTTTCCCAATTTCTAGCATCTACACTATTCTCCCCTTCTATACTTACCTCTCCCTACCGTCATACCGCGCCTCCCCTCTTACCCGAAACTCTTCACACACATCGAACTCCTCTTCTACAGCCCACTCTAAAGACTCCTTGCACAGTCATGAACTCTCCTCTCTATCACAGATCTCACACCCTGCTTTCCTTCTTCTTCTACCTCCCACGACCTGTTCAAAATATCACAACTCACAAACTCACCACTCATATCTCTCACAGAACACTAATTGAATGCATTCTTCCTTCTCTTTCCTTCTGCGACCTCCTCCGCGCACCTCGCTCGCACACACACAAACTCTATTCGCCATCACAGATCTCACTCACTCACCGACCTCCTCGGTTACTCTCTCTTCCCGCGACCTTCACCATGTGCTTACACTCATTTTACATAAAATATCCACCCTCTCTCATAGACCTCTCCCACACTCAAATGTCTTCATTTTCTCTCTTCCCGCAGCCTCCTCCGTGAACGCCTCAATTGTTCAACCTGCCATCAACACCTGCCTGTATCTATATCTTAGTTCTGTTACTCTACATACTAACCAAAACCTATATTTCTCAACCTAAAATCACAATCTCGAATCGCTCCACTCCTATACAATAACTCAAAATTTTAACGTACCTCCCATCTCCATCTTTTTTCCTCCCATAGCTCGCACTGTTCCGGTCATCCTTCCTGTTCACTCTCTTTTCTCGTTTCTCTCCAATCCAGCTACTCTCTCTCTCTCTCTCTCGAACCTTCTCTTCCTGCCCCCGATCTCTCTCTTTTCTGTTTTATTTCTTTTCCTCTCTTTTCTTTCTTTTCTTTCTTTCTTTCTTTTTTCTTTCTCTTCTCCTATTTATACCCCACCAGCCTCTCATCCTGCTCGCCCATCTCACCTCATCCCAATCGTCCACTTTCTCCTTCTCCAAACGACGCCGTTTCCTCCATTTCTTCACCAAACGACGCCATTTCACATTTGAAATTCTCACTCTACTTATACATCTATACATATATGCCAATTTTTTTTTTTAGTTATTACAATATATGATACAACTAACTTAACGAATAAATCAACGCTAAAAACCTAGTATTTTATATATGTGCAAATTTCAATATGTAAATTTATATGATAATTTATATATATATATATATATATATAATTAATGAGGTATATATGCAAAAATATCGGTTAACGTTAAACTTTATATATGAGAATCTGGAAATTCATAATTTTTTTAAAAAAATTTGTGGAATAAATTTTTAATGATATTAAAATTTTATATAAATTTATTAATTTTTGTGTAATATTGGAATATTCTAATGATCAATGTGCGATTGTATTATTTTAATTATTATTTAATTATATTAATATGTTGTAAAATAGCAATAAAATATACCTTGAATGTCTAAATAAAAAAAATAATATTACAATAATTTATAGCTAATGCTTCGTCTATTTCAACTTTATCTGTAATTGAACCAAACATAATATAAAGTTGTAATGAACTATTTTTAATTAACTAGTTATATTATTACTACCATAATGTAATTAAAAATGAACAAATATGTTATATTTTTAAATTTACAATATCATTCACTTTATAAAAAAATTTAGAAAATAATTACCCAACATATGAAAAAATATATATATATATATATATATGCAAGTTTTTGTAGTGATGATGAATTATTTTTTAATAACAAATAAATATTAACAGTAATATATAGTAATAATTAAAAAACAAAATAATACACAGTGATGAGAAAAGGAAATATAATATTTTATAGAGTATGATATTTCATCTAATTTTAGAAAGTAGATACATAAAAACTAAAATTTTAAAATACCGAAATATAATTTATTTTACATTAATGTATCCCATACTTACTTAATACACACGTGTCCATATTTAATTGGTCAACAATTTAATGTTATGTATATTATATAGACAGAGAGAGATATATATATATATATATATTCATTTATTATATGGCTAAATTATATGTGATTATAAGTAAAGATGCCACGTGACAAAAATAATGATTAAAAGAAACTTAGCAATCCGCGAGTGTGATAGTTTTTATTTGACTGAAATAAATAAATCGGCAATAGCTTTCTTTTCTGTTTAACGATGTGATTTGTCCGTGTTGACGTGGGCAGCAGAAGCACGCGAACGCTACCAACCGTTGGATTAGATTTTGTCTTTCTTTGTTTTATTTTAAAAGATAAAAGTCATTATTGTAGTAGCTGGCTTTTAATTATTATTATTAAGTTCTTCTTGAGTACTTAAAAAAGACTTATTCAAATTTAATTTAAAAAAATAATATTTAAAAATAAAATATTAAATGCACTGACTCAATAGAAAATTAATTTAATTTATGCATCCCTAGAAATATGTTACTCTTGATGCAACTAATGTATTTTAACTGAATTAAAAAAAATAAATAAATTGACATATTTACTACAGCAAATACTAACTTTTATTTAACATTAAATATTTCTAAAACATGTATAAATTGATTTAAATATTACCCAACTACACGGAAAATGCATTTATAAAAAGAATCAGGAATAAAATTACTTTAAAATTATTTATTAAAAAACTATTTTTATTAAAGAAATGTGTATACTTTGGGCGGTGAGTCAAGAGTCAATGGAATTATTATTATTATTCAACCCTTCTCTCTGTCTTCCTAGAAGGCTACCTTCCCCTCCAGCTCCATCCGTATATCGGAACAGACCTTAGATCTGTCCGATTCTGTCTCCAATGGCGGACAAATTTAAGACCAGGAAACCGCTGGTTCCTATTTCTACCTCCTGCCCTTTTGTCTGCTGGTATATCATTTTTATATTCTTCTATTTTCTCACCTTCTGCGTCGCCTCCTACCCTTCATCATCCGCCATTAATACTCCTCTTGCTCCTTCTCCTAATGACGTACTCAAACCTCCATTTCAGACCAGAGCTCGAAGATTGAACTCCAGGACTGTCATTGCTTTGATCACTGTTTCGGGTTTTCTCCTCTTCTGTTTCTTTCTATCTCTCATGGGTTTCTCCTTGTTCAAGTTCCTGAAACTCAAGAAATCCAAACGCAGCAGACCCACCAGTCAAGTTGTCGATCATGAGTCGAACAGGGAAGTTGCTGGGTCTGATGTTGATGGTGATGGTGATTTATCTGTTAGGAAATATAGTTGGAGTGAGATAGAAAGAGTGACCTTGAACTTCTCCAAGGTGATTGGCTATGGCGGATTTAGCAATGTCTATCTAGGTCAATTTTTTAGAGGTTCCAAACAAGGGGCAGTCAAGATCCATATCGGCAGTGACAGACTCAACCAAGTTTTCAAGCAGGAATTAGACATTCTTCTTCGTCTCAGTCACGTTAACATCGTCAAGCTTCTCGGCTACTGCGATGAACGAGGTCCACAACTCTGCTCACTTCGCTCTGCAATTTTTTTTTCTTTTCTTTTACTTTTTCTCTTCTGCGTTTTCGAGTTTGAGTAACCTTGAAGTCTACTTACTGTTAAACAGAAGAAGGAGCCCTGGTCTTCGAGTATATTCCTAACGGAAACTTGCAAGAGAAGCTCCATGGAAGCTCGAGAAATTACTCAGAGCTTCCGTGGCGGAACAGGATGGCCATAGCTTTCCAACTGACTAAAGCAATCGAGTACCTCCATGAAAAATGTAGCCTCCAGATTGTACACGGTGACATCAAGGCTTCAAACATCCTGCTCGACGAGAATCTGAACTGCAAACTCTGCGATTTCGGGTCTGCGAAAATGGGGTTCTCGTCGATGGTGCAACCTCCGTCGTCATCCCCGTCGCCTGGGAGAGCAAAACAGGTGATGATGATCGGGTCTCCGGGGTACACCGACCCGCATTACTTAAAGTCCGGGATTGCATCGAAGAAGAATGATATATACAGCCTTGGAGTTATCATTTTGGAGTTGGTAACAGGGAAGGAAGCTTTTAATCCTGAAAGAGAGGAGTCCTTGGCAATGGCGGCGGCGCCCATGTTGAGGGAGATCGGCGAGGGTGGTGGAGACGTGGAGAAGATAAAGGTTGCAGAATATATAGATCCAAGGTTGATGGGAGAGTTTGACTTGGAAGAAGCAAAAACAATGCTTTTCATTTCTGGACTTTGTCTTCGTCAATCTCCAACTCTCAGACCTTCTGCAACTCAAATCTTGCAGAGCATGAAGGAGAAAGTTTCATCCATCAATTTTCTTTTTCCAGAACCGCATAAAGGTTGATTTTTTTTTCTTTTGTAAAGTTGATGAGATCTGTCTGGATTTGCACAGGTCAAGAATTTATTCATATACAACTTATACAGATGTTTATAAATTAGTATAAATTTGTTTATGGAATTATCGATTTAGCTGTAAAGAAAGAAGAAAAAAGAAAAGGAAAAATGTAATTGCTTGATTGCATGCAGCACCTTTCCTATTTGAGAACACAGATAATTAATTTTTTAAGTAAGAGCTGGGTTTTTCTTTTTTGGGTATGTTTCAGGGTGATTTTTATTTCCTAAATTCTAAATTTTTCTTGCTTTTTTCTTTATCTGAAGCTATTTACAATTTTAGTGTTTATTATTTTTCGAAAATAACTTATTAACCACCTTACAAAAAGTTTATCTATATACATTCTTTTACCATATTGTTAAATGTTCTTTATACTTTCTTGTATTATTTTAGTTTAAAAGACTTACGAGATATTTTATATTTAATATTTATAATATTTTTTATTAAATTTAATAACTTTATATTTAATTTATTTAAAATTAGTTCATGAATAATTTACATAATTAAAAAATTAAGAGTTATATACGGGGGATAAATGATTTTCCCGCTGCGGAAGATGAGAAAACTTTTTCCACCCTCTTTCGTCGTAGAATGGCATAAGAGATGATGTTGGAGTGGAGTAAGTGTTACGTTCGGCTGCAGAGGGATGACACCGCCACGTGTCGGTCACTCAGAAAAAGAAAAAAGTAAAGAATAAAAGTTGAAGGTCTTATTTTTTAGAAAAATAAGATAAAAAAAGAATTGATAACATTTTTTAATTTTTTTATCTTGTACAGATAAAATATGCATTAACTTTTTTTAAAAAAAAAATTATAAATAGTTCTATCAATACAGAGATGAAATTATAACAAAAAATTAGAGACAATTTAAAAATAAACAAAGTGTTTTAAATTTTAATTATGGAAAACAATGAATTGAGTGGGCCCACCTTGTTCGTTTTTAGTAGCCTGACTAAAAAACGATGAGAGGAATCTGCGGCCCTCCATATTTATGGAGGCTGTATTGAAAATGAAGGTCGCCAAAATGGAGATTGCAAAGCCCGAATGAAAATGAAGCCGTGACAAGGACGGAGCACCGGGGGCCCATAAAACCATGATAAGCACCAGTGGTCCATGGCGGTCAAAATGACAGGCCTAAACCGAGCGTACACTCAGAGGTCGCGACTTGCGAAACTCCGTTCTTGCAACTGAACTTGAAGCGAAGAGGCTAACTGGTCACTGGTGTTGGTTAGGGACTCTCAGTATGTCATCTTCTTTCTTAATATTCGCGACTCCGTCGCCGATACCGGCTGCCAGGAAATTTCCGGCATTAGGTATTGGCAGTAAACGAACCGATTTGTTTAGCATTCGCGTTTGTAATGGAAATGGAAGGCTTGGTGTTTTGAATTCCAAATCCAATCGCAGAGGGCGTGGTGGATTTTGCTGCAAATCGCAGCTGGCGGAATTGGCTCCCGCCACTTCCGCTGCCTACGGCTTGATGCTCCTCGGCGGTGGCTTATTCGCATGTACTCCGCTCTTCGTTTGCTTTTTTTCTTTTTTGTTTTTTTATCTTTTCCCCCTTGTTTTTGAAGTTACTTATACTGTTGTTTTTAAATGTTCCTGTTTTGGCATGTACAGTTACCAAATCTGGGAGTAAAGGTTCCTTATTCGGTGGCTTGACTGGTGGAGCTCTAATGACATCTGTACGTTACCTTTATTTAATTATATCATTAGCCAATTTCAAATGCCAATTCTCCTTTTCCTTTCTCTCTTCATTGTTGTAGCTTTGTTATGGTGTCTTTTAAATAGCTTTTCAGTTTCATCCTACAATATTTTGATTAGATGTTACATAATATGATAGTACTCTTTATTTGTTCTTTTGTTTTCTGGCTATAAATCAAATCTATTCACTCGGGTCATTCACGATGCTGGCATTTTCAGATAATTTCATTGCATTGCAAAGTTTAGGTGAATGTGATGGCACGTTTAGTCTATTTGAAATGGATAAAGTTAATGGTTGGAGTCAAACTTGGTAACTTTCTCTTATTCTTCAAGTCTTGGGTGGTTGTAGAAAATTGTTTGAGTTTTAATTTTTTATATATTGATATTATATATATATATATGTGTGTGGATCTCTCTTGATATTAAAAAACGTGTATAGTTTATGAAAATGAACTCAAACTTTGAAAAATGTTTGCAAAAAGTAGGACATGAGTTTCAAAATAATAATAACTTGTTCTCAAGCTCTAACCATATTTTCATGTCTTTTCCTGAACTTGCATTCATTTTTAACAATCATACACGTCCTTATGTACAAGTATTATAGGAATGGAGAAAATAAAAACTCTGTTCTCTGGAACTAAGCAAAACCTTAATTTTTGTGGCTAGCAGCTTTCATTGTTTAGGCAGCCTATTAATTAGTGCTGTTGAGAATTAGTTAGTCAAACCGCTTTTAGTTAGTCTGGTAAATTCGTTTACTCACAACTAGCTGATAACTAACTATTGTTAGTTAGTTAACTCGAAGTGGGTTTAACTAATGTTGTATAATTATGTTGTAAACATACGTGTATAAATAAAAAGAGGAAAGATAGAGAAAAGCGTTAACTTCTTTTCTCTGTTCCAGAATTTGTTTCGTTCAAATAAGAAAATCTTTTACCTCACCTCTGTTCATGGTATCAGAGCTCAGGTGAGCGACTGAAATAATGGCAACGTATCAGAATAGTGGTGTTCGTAATGCATCTGGAAGAGTATCGACAACGAATATGTCAAGTGAAAGTCTCGGAATTTCTCTGGTGACAGTGCCCTTCAGTGGAATGAACTATCGTATATGGAGCAAGTCTGTAAAAATCGCGTTGGCAGCCAAGGAGAAACTGGGGTTCATAAATGGAAAGATTAGCATGCTGCCGGAAGACTCTGTGGAGTACGAAGATTGGTTCGTAGGAAACGCGATGGTGATATCATGGATTCTAAACTCACTGGCAAAGGAGTTCCACGACGCGTTTCTCTGTGTAAATTCGGCTCAAGACCTGTGGGAAAATTTGGGGAAAAGGTTTGGAGAATCTAATGGCCCACAGGAGTATCAATTGAAGAGAGAGCTTGTAACACCCAAAACTTTTTTTTATTATTTTATTTTAATTTTATTCTATTTTAATAATTAATTTATAAAGTTTTAATTTAATTTAATAGAAATAAAAAAATAATAATAAAATGAGGTAAAATTTTTTTGGGATTTAATTGAAATTGATTTTGGGAAAAAGATGTGAAAATTTGGATTCTGGGGGTGTTTTTGAAAAGAAAATCGAAAATCGGGGGCCAAAACGCAATTTATAAAAATAGTGCCACGTCAACAGCCACGTCAGCAGCACCGACCAACCAGAATGCGCCGCGTGGCAAGGACGCTGACGCAGAGAGCCACGCGGGACGGCATCACGTGGTCAATCCGCGTGCGCACGATCGGACGGCCCAGATCCGTTCCCGCGCGCACGGACGGTCCAGATCAAGAGCGCGTGCGGACAGCCCAGATTGAATTACTCACGGACGGCCCAGATCATATTGCGATGGACGTCTCAGATTCATTCCCAATTTAATCGCGATCGGCCGGCCCATATTAAATTATGATGGACGGCTCAAATTAAAAGGGGAATGTTATAAATAATCGCATTCACACCCAACCCCAAACCCTAGCCGCCAGAACCCTCGCTGGAGAAGACAACCCAGCTACCGGAGGAACTGGCTGCCGCCACCAGCCGCCACACCGAAAGATTTTTTGGCCGCCAAACAAGGTAAAATTTCTCTCATTGGCTCGTTTTTGGATGCTGAACCTCCCTGTGGCCAAATCGGAGCCAAGCCACCGATCAATTGGCCGGAAAACAGTGCCGAAGTCCAGCGGCGCCGCCGCGGGTTTTCTCGGTTTTTGCCTCCGATGAGGCCCTTCCTGGTTCCCGTTCCATGTAATTTTTATACCACCGTGACCACCGTTTTTTTCTCTACAGGTTGACCAGAGCAAAACACCAAATCGCAACTCACGCTGAAGGAGCTGCCGCACCCGAGAGCCCTGCCGCCGGTAAGTCTCGGTTTTCTATAATTTTTTGGCCCAGCGAGGACCCTAGGGGTGTTTTATCACAGGAACCAATGCAAGTTTAGTCGAATACGGCCGAAAACGGCCAACTCGAGGCGGATTGCCTCCGTGGGCGGCGGCGCTGTCGCCATCGCCGGAGCACGGCGGAGCTGCCGTGTCGGAATTCTGAAATTGGCTGAAAAGGTCCTGGGTCTGATTTGGAGTTTTTTGGGGACATGTGTAGGTACCGGAAGTGTGTTTCAGTTTCCGGCAAAAAAATTCAGGGAATCTAGGGACTGCCCGTAAGCGCAGTGAGAACCCGATTTCAGACTCCGAAACAAGTAAGGATCTCTCACCCTATTTCCTATTACGGCATTAAAGGTTAATAAATGATAAAATTCTATGTTATGAATTAATCGATATGTATAATTAATAAAGGTTGCTAATGGAGCCCAAATCTGATATGTTTTTCGGTCAGGTGTTGTTTGATTTATTTTACAGTTTTTAATGCAGTATGGTGCCTGATGTGTTTATTCTATGGTTTCGTATGCATAAACCATGATTTCATTTATTATGGTTTGAATTATTGTGAACCTGATGTTGTGCTACCTTTTTTAGTGTCCATTACTGGTTTACGTGTTTATGTTTGATTGGATAATTGAGATTAAGAAAAATCGAAAAAGGTATGTGAATTGATAAATGGATAATGTCGACAGCCTAACTAGATATCCTGAGAGATGGTGGACGGACCGGGTCCATAGGGAACCCTATCGGGAACGTGATCTCTCATATCGGACGGGGTATGGAGATTTTATGTGTTTTGACGCCCATACCGGACGGGGTATGGGGACGGCCCGTTTCACCCTCATATTGGACGGGGTATGGAGACTTTATATGTTTTGGCGCCCATACCGGACGGGGTATGGGGACGGCCCTGGAATTATGTTATTAATGTGAATGGTTCACGTGTAGCAGGGACTCTCTATGGATCCTCATGGATACTAGTAAGCTGATAAAGGAGGAAATTTATTGTCTGATGATTAAAATACAGAAGCATAATATGTGTTATGTTACAGAGTGTGCATGATCTTATGATGTTTATGATGTTATTGTTTCTCATAAGTTGTTTTCATGAATCTCACCGAGATAAGTGGACAGTAAAGGTTTTCATTATTGATAAATGAGTTTATTATAAATTATGCTCAATTGGTCGTTTTTGTTTTCTACCAACCTTTACTTCTGTGACAGTGAGATAGTGTGATATCTTTATTGAGATAGTGTAGCTCATTCCTTACTAACCATTTCAGATCAGGAAGACTTGATTTCCGAACCCGTCCCGCAGGAAGATGGCGAGTAGATGTTTAAATATTTCATAGTTTTATTTATAACATTCATCTCTAATATTTACTTTATTTAATTTATTTTTTCATACATTTAGTACGTTTAGATTATTGTGTAAGGGATATTAATTAAAAAAATTTATTCCGCTTCCGCACTCAGAATTTTTCTTATATATACATTTCCCTTTAAAATTCCGGAGCCGTTACAGAGCTGGGTTCAGTATCTCAAGGTAACGACTCCCTCACAACATATTTTACAAAAATCTACGGGCTTTGGAATGAGCTGAACAGCATTGCTTCAGCTCCTCATTGTTCTTGCGAAAAATGTACTTGTGAAGTATCTGAATGGATAGATAAGATGAATGAGAGTTCTAAAATCATACGATTTTTAATGGGACTCAATGAGTCATTTGATCAAGTAAGGAATCAAATTTTGTTGCTAGAACTCCTTCCCAATGTAGATAAGGTATACTCAATGTTAATGAGTGTGGAGAAGCAACGACATTTTGCAAATATATTTGCGGAGACAATGGATGTAACTGCATTTGCGGCGACTGGTTCACAAAAGAATGCTAGCTCGGGAAGAGGTAATTTTAGAAGGAGAGAGCCGACAAGAAGGGAAGACAAGTATTGTAGTCATTGTAAAGAAAATTTTCATTTCAAAAATACTTGTTTCAAATTATATGGCTATTCGGATTGGTATAAGGAATTGAGAATAAAAAACAGGATGGTAGAAGGGAACAGAAATAAGGTGAATTTGCCAGAAACTCCACTGGATGATTAAAAAGTAGTAAATGATTCAGTGAAACCAGACGACAGCATGATGAAAACGTCTATGAGGGATTTGATCCAGCAATAACTCTCAAGACTGTCGAAGGGAAAACATATATCAGATTGCCAATTATAAGCTGTACACAGGACTATGCAGGTAATTTTTCTGAAAAATTGTCAAAGGATACATGCTGGATTATTGATAGAGGGACAAGTTGTCATGTAACTGGGAATAGTTCTCTATTTCATAGCTTCAAGAAAGTAAAAAAACCAAGATCAGTTTACCTGCCAAATGGTTCAGTTCTGGGAGTTGAGTTTTCTGGAAATGTAACCTTAAGGAAAGACTTAATTGTGGAAGATGTGTTGTATATACCCTCCTTCAATCATAACCTATTGTCAGTAAGCAAGCTAGCCAAAACCGGAAACATTAAGTTTGTCTTTTACCCTGAGTTTTGTCTGCTGCAGGACCAGAGGACTGAACAGGCAGTGGGAGTGGGGAAATCAATGGAAAATCTGTACTATCTTGATGCTGGGT